GATTTCACGCAAAAATCGCGTCCTGAACCAAATCTAAAAAGTTGAAACGAACCAGCATTGATGGCTGGTCCAGCAAGTTTGCTTGTGAGTTCTGCTATCGGTAAGCTCAGTAGGTGTAAGTTGGTGGTGTGGGCAGCAATAGCCTTATGTAGCTCAACATTGTTAGACCTGCAAATTAAATCAACTGTGACGTTTCAATCATCAAAAGAACGACGACCTCATGCAAAATTTCATTTTGCCAAAAGACCAAAAAATGATTTTCAAGATAGGTCTAAACTAAAAAGAAGAATAAAGAAAAAAGAAAAAGAAGAAAAAATATAAAGAATGAGACACCTGGTAACAGATGATTTTAGAATTACATGAGCCACATCACTGCTTTCAGACAAGATAATGAAAAGTGACTTACCTTGCTTTCTGGTGATGTTCAGTGAGCCGCTCCAATTCACTCTTGATTGCTTTATAACCCTCATCCGATGTCTGAAAAAGCTGGTTAAGGAACTGAGGCTAAGCTTATTCCTATATTCTCACTATTTCAGGCAGGTCCACTTCAGCTAATCGTGAGGAGAGATTACCCAATTTCGCTCCTGCTTCATGAGCCAGGTCGCTGACTTCTGAACAGGAAAACTTGACCAACAATCGAAAAAAATTACGATTCTTACTTTGCAAACTGTCCAGCAATTTTGGAATAGCATCTGGCTGCGTCGTCAAAGCAGCATTTCGCTCTAGCAACATGTCCGGCAAGATAGGCGTCGTTTCTGCATCCAAGTCGATTTCGTCGACCCTCAGTGCAACCAAAAATGTGCTGTAAAACAAATCACGGAATCTTACTAACATCTTCAGATGCAAAGACACTCACTCCAACTCATCGTCTCTGGCATTAGTTCTCGCCAAAACTTCACGTTTAAGCCTAGCTTTCTCTTCTTCATATTCAGAAACAGCCTTTACAACACCAGAAGGCAGAAGTCCTCCAAACAGATCTTCGCCTCCAACCGATGGATCCAAAGGATCGAACGAAAGAGGGCGAACTTTGCAGAGCCCCTTTAATGCAGAAATTCATAAGACTGCGCACAAGGAGAACTTCGTAGCTTACCTCCAGGTCTTTGCACAATTCATCAGGACCCGGTATCCGATCGTGGTAGATGAACTCATTCTCTTTCTTAGCGTTGTTTAACCTGCAAATAAGCGCTTTATAAGAATCTAAGAAAACTTAAAAATTCAGAAGAAAATTCTAAAAAATTTAAATTAGGAAATCTAAATTAGACTCCATACTTGATTCCAACAACATCGGAAAGAAATGCAATCGACGCTCGCATAGCGTCACGGTCTTCCTTTTCCGCTAGCTTCAGAATGGCTGTTAGATGATCATTCGCTATCTTATAATAGCCGTATCTGAGAAATGGACTAGTTAAAATAGTCTCAAATAAACAGTAAAAATAAGTAACACAATTTATTGCAAAAAGGAAACATTCCTGGAAATGTGTTAATCCAAATAACTTCGTTATGTAGCTCCCTAACTTCATTTTGTAGCTCTTACCTTGCTCCCATTTTCTTGTCATCATCGGCCTGACAACCCAGATGAATCATCGCAATGGCGCCGTACATTTCGCTTTTTATCGCACATGTGCGCGACCATTGCTGTAAAATAAATGTTTTCTTGAATCATGAACAAGTGCATAGAACCATAAAAAATCTTATGAAACCTTAACAAAATGGACATGTCAAAAAAACGTCATCATGTTGACAATGATGTGGAAAAACAAAATATCCATAAACTTATTTACCTTGTATTTCTGCGATGAGACGTAATCGCAAAGATTTGAGTTTTCGATGTGGCTCAAGCACTCTCGATACCGATCTCTCAGATGTATGGCCAATTTTGACACAACCAGATTGCTGCGATGATCGATCAAACTTTTCTCAAGCAAACATTCTTGGGCTTGGCCCTAAAATATTCACTCTCTCT